ATTCTGCTTTCAAAGATGGCAGAATCTCTTAGGGTAGAGGCCAAGGTTTCTAGAAGAGAAAATCCTTGCCTTCTCTCAGCCCTTAAAGCCCAGACAGATGGAGGGTGGAGAGAAGACCCTACTGGGGACAGGTCCCTCTCCGACTTGTCTCTTCAACTCTTTCTTGCACATCCCAGATAACACAGCAAAAGGGCCAAGAATACACTGAGGGTGGACTACAGTTCCAGCCTAGCCGCCGCGCTGGGAGAGCCCCCAGTTGTGCCAAGAGTCCCCCCACAGGCTAAGGAAGGACGGGCAGGTGGAAACCAAGGGGGCCCTGGGGGACCACAGATCCCACCGGCCCGCCTCAGTGGTGATGGAAGCAGGGTTGGTGCAAGGCCAGAACATGCTCTGAGTTGGGGTTAATGAAGGGCACAGGATTTCAGTTCTTAAGGGGCAGCCTCAGCGTCCTTGTCCCCTTGAAGCTAAGAGGAAGAGTGTGGTGGGCCCCTGGGTGACCAATGGTCTTCCATCCTGTTTAGATGCAACTACCCACATGCTTTCTCAACCACTGTTTATGTAACCCGCAGGATGATCTATCAAGGCTTTCTGGTGTGTTGGTTTCAAGAGACATTAATGGAATAATTGGGCACAGCAGTTCCTCCTCCTCCCTCTGTGACTCACAGGAGACCGTGGGGCAGCGCTTCATTCAACTCCGTAACCCATGACAATGAGAACTGAGCACCTGTGGGGCCTGGTCCTGCTCCTTGCCACACCTCTCAGGCATTATTCGTTCCCTAACAGCCACAGGTGCCTATTGTGTGCTAGGTGCCAGACAAAGCCCACTGTTCTCTTGGAACTTAAATTCTGCTACAGGGAGAGAAAGAATAAATAATAGGTCAGGAAGCCATACAGTGTGTTTAAGGATGAGGTGCTATGGAGAGAATAGATCTGCGGGAGGGGAAGGGAGCAGCAGCTCAGGTACACAGCGTTGCCGCCATGAGGCAAAGCCTTGATGGAGAAGACAGCTGGGCGCGCCGAGTGGGGTGCAGGGCAAACCTCCTGTGCTTGGGGAGTGGGTGAGGGGGCAGGCTGGAGGGGACTGTGGAGGTGAATCTAGATGCCACAGAGACCACCTGACCTGCATCACTCCAGCTGCCCTGAGGCAGGCCATCGGCAGCCACCGCCACACGCCCAGCAGGAGGCGATGGTGCTGGGCACCCAGGAGTGCCTGAGGGTGGACAGAAGTGGTCAGGTTCTGCACAGAAGGCCGAGCCATGAGATGTGCTGCTGGGTCTAACATGGGATGTAAGAAAAGCAGGAGGGTCAAGGGATGCTACCTGAGTAAGGGGAAGTTGGCAAAAGCTGTGGGAGAGGCAGACGGCCAGGGAGAGAGCAGGAGGTTGGTTTTGCACATCTTAACTTCCAGGAGTCTGGGCTACTTCAAATGGGGGCCTGACTGGGCAGTTGGACATTTTGTCTGGGCTTTGAGAGACAGAGATAGAGATCCATTGTGGAGCTATAAATTTACAAGCCATCAGCATAAAGGATGGTATGCAAGGCCCTGCAGTTGCTTGAGGTTCCTAGCAAGAGAGCGCAGAGTCGGGGAGCTAGGGCAGGCCTTGAGAAGGGGCAGGCGGAGGAAAAGTGGGGGGACGGGTGGGGGTGCTGGCACAGAGGGAGGAAGCTACTGGGGTGGGGGTGAACAGCTGTGTCAAATGATACTGAGCCTCAGGCAGGAGGCCAGCTGAGAGACGGATGGATTTAGTGCAGAGGCCACCGGTGGTCTGAATGAGAGTATTTTTAAGAGATGAGTGGGCTGGGGGTGCAGCTCAGGGGCAGAGCATGTGCTTAGCATGCAGAAAGTCCTGAGTTTAATCCTCAGTATCACCAGAAAAGAAAAAGTTAAGAGAATGGGAGGGGAAAGGGAGAAAGAGGCTTGGGAAGGAGGAGTATGGAGTCGCTTCTAAGGAGTTTTGCTGTTTGTAAGGAACAGAGAAAAGGGCAGGAGCTTGAGGGCAATGTGAGTCAAGAGTGCTTTGTTGGCTTCTTCCTTCAGATGGGAGAAATTGTAGCACTTCCATGCTGAAGGGAGCAACCCAGTGGAGAAGGCCACGCTGAGGGCGCAGGGGGGAGAGGAAGTTGCTGGAGACTTCTCCAGCCCCAAACCACAGAAGTCCTCTTTGAGGGTAACTACAGTCACTGGAGATGGCACCAGGGTGGACATAGCACATCTGGTTCTCGGCCTGCTAGATCTGCCCCGTGCCAGCTGTGAGGCCCTGTGCCAGCCCCTCCACACGCAGGACTTCTGAGGAGGAGGCAATTCAGCTCTGCCTCTCTCACCAGACTGTGGTGGAGATGAGATCCAATCAGGTAGTACCAAAGGTGTGAAAGTGTTTAGCAACATGTAATGTGTGCAACAGGTGGCTGGGATTATTTTTCTTAATCTAATAACACTAGGGATTATTAAACAGATTTAAGGGCTTACTGTTCACGGAGCCTTACTCATGTGTATAGCCTCCTGCCCACGGAAGCCAATTATACCTCAACCCTCCAAGGATGCTTATAGTCCCCCAACTCCACCACTCCCACCTGCCCATACCTGACCTCCACCTGTCCTGTCCTTGGCAAATGCTACCCTTTCTTTTATCTTCTTTCTTTCTTTTTTTAAAACAGGGTCTCCCTATCTATGCAGTTCAGGCTGGCCTTGAACTCACTGTGTAGCCTACACTGGCCTTGAACCCTCAGTGACTCTCATGCCTTGGGCTCTGAGTGCTGGGATTGCAGGCATGGGCCCCCAGTCCCAGCAAAGGCTGCCTTCTGAGGCCTCCAGATGCTGCTCCCCAGGCCTGCTCTCCAGTATGCTGCCCCCTTCTTTCTTTCTCTGCAGTTCTATTTCCCACCCAGACTTTGTCAAGTACACTTTTATTTAAAAGAGATGGCCGGGAGGTAAGAACAACACTGGTCCAGGACCCAGAAGTGAGTGTCTTAGAGTGGCCAACCATCCCAGTTTGCTTGAGATTTTAGGGTTCATCAAGAGGTGGGACTTTCTGTGCTAACACTGAGCATGTCCCAAGTAGACTGGTCTTGACCAAGCCCACACTTAGCTGACTTGTAATTATGTTGCCAGTGTTGTACTCTAAGAAAATAGCTTCATTATATGTGTATTATAACAAAACCTGTAACCCGGGCTTACTGTATGTGTTTTCCTTCTTATGTCTTTGGATGACCTAATTGATATGTTAATCAATGCTCTTCTCTGTAAAGAATTGTAAAACCTTACCTAATTGATATGTTAACCATTGTTGCCCTTTACAAACAACAGAAGTTGTGCTAAAACAAGCTAACAAGGGTTGTTAATCACTGTTAGGCGCCTCTATTCTCCGCTAAAGAGCTAAAGAAAACTAGGATGGCCCTCTAATTTACACTTGTTTGAAGTAACTTGCCTGTGTGCAGGGAGATTTGCTTATTAGCATAACCCTTTACCTGAGCTTGATCCCCCTCCCTAGAAAGAAAGAAAAACATAACTACTGTTTTCTGTTCTGTATGGTGCCGTATTGCCTCCCCTCTCCCCTTACCTATCTATCTAGGCTAGGCCATAAAGATTTTGGGTTTCTGGTGATCTCTTCCTGACCCGGTGGTGGTCTGTCATAAAATGTGCCTTAGCTTCAAGGAAATTACAGGAAAATGTTGTGGCTTAACCCTAATGCACCAAAAGGGTTAAGTTCCAAATCCTTGTGAAGGCTTAAGTTTTAGCTTCTTATAACTTTCGACCCCTTCCCACCTGTTAGTGTTAACGAACTGTCCTGAGATAATTAGCTTTCTACTTTCTTCTCCAAATGTTATTGCAGATAATTCTTATCTGCAGGATGGGAGTAACTCAAAAGGTGCCAAAGGCTCCCGAGGTTGTCAGAACTAAGTGGACAGCTATACAGTTTCCAGACTCGGGTCAACAAGTTTGATGGCTCTGCAGGTTTCTTTGTCCCCCCCCCCCTTTTCCTCCAGCCTCTTTTTAAAGTCCTCCCTTCAGTCTCTGGCACACAGTCTCCAAATTGGCTCCCAGAGACTCGTTGCCAGGCCTGGTCTAATAAAGCCTTTGCTACCTAAATTTAGGTCTCCTGCTTCCTTGGATTTTATACCGGGAGTCGGAGTTATTATAGCCAGGAAGCCTTGAATCCATCACTTACCTGCTCTGGAATTACTAAGGGAGAGTGTTCGCGGCTTTCACTATCAGTAGCCGTTATTTTGGATGCCTCCCCCTGAAGACATCCCTATGTCCCTGCCCATCTGGATCCTGGGGTGCTCTCAGTGTCTGGAACCCCTGAACAGAGTTAGGCTGCTCTGGCTGACAGCTGTCCCTGGTCACCTCTGTCTCCTGGGCATCTGTTTCCAAGCTCCCCCTACCTAGCCTCTGACCCTGAGTGGGACTCTGGAGCCAGACCACCAGGAGCCCCAGTTTGCCCCTCAAACTTCCTATGGTGCTGATGATTTCAGGCATGCGTTTCACATCCCTGAGCTTCAGTTTCCTCATCTCAACTTGGTGGCAGTAGAGCCTGTGTTACAAACCTATGGTGGGAATGAAGCACACATGGAAAGCTTGCTGGAAGGAAGCATGTGATCCATGAACATTAGCAGTTATTGTTAGCATAACCAACATCATCATCAACAGCAAACTCAATTTGGTGAGAACAGCAAAAAACAAGCTCATTCATACAAGGCCTCTACCTTACAGGGGTCTTAAAATTTCCTAGCACTAAGAAGCCTTCCTAGATTGCCCTAGGAGAACAATACTGTTGATTCCTGTGGCCAGACATTCCCACAGCCCTGCCCCCTCCCACAGTGCCGACCCTCTGCAGCTCTGCCTCTGTGTCTATAGGGCCCACCTTCCTGCATCCCTGCTCCCACCAGACAGGGGATTCCCAAAGGAGAAGAGGATGATAAGGAAGACAGGGGTGGTGGAGGCAACTAGGGAGAGGATCGCAAAGCTGAGAAGGTGACCCGGGCAGCTGAGCCAAACTCACCAACGTAAACACACCCGCTCCTAACACTGCGTAGACTGCGTGGAGCCAGGGCACCTGCCAGGCAGAAGAACGATGCGGTTAGGCATGGTCAGAGGGTAGCAAACAAGCTGAAGGGGCTTCAGCCCAGAGAATGGAGGATGTCCTCCCTAAGAAGGATCAACAAAGGGGACCTACGGGGGTCCTTGATTCTCTGGGTGCTCATGGTAATGGGGTGAGGGCCCACAGGGCAATCACAGAGTGACAGCCAGGGAGCTCCCACCTGATCATACAATGCCTCTACCTTACAGGGGTCTTAAAATTTCCTAGCACTAAGAAGCTAGGAAATTTATAAGCAAGGTGCTTCTTCCTGCAAGGTGCTTCTTCCTGCAAGTCCCAGCCCCAGGCTTAGGCTGAGTGAGGATGACTTATCCTACTGTGGCCCTGACATCCATCCTCCCAGCCTGAGTTTGGCTCAAGGCTGTTCCTGCCTCCCAGCCTGTAGTCCATCCCTGGATCTGCACTGGGAGGCAAAGGACTCAATAATAGGGGGGTCAATACTTGAACTCAGGGTGTGTGTGTGTGCGCGCACACATGAGTGCCACGCGTGCATGAGTGCATGCACCTCTGGAGGGTCTGCCAGGTGTTTTTTGTTTGTTTGTTTGTTTTTGAGACAGGGTCTTGCTCTGGAGTCCAGGCTGGCCTCAAACTCGTGGCAATCCTTCTGCCTCAGTCTCCTGAGTGCTGGGATTACAGGTGTTTGCCAGCATGCCTGGATGCCAGGTGTGTATGGGCTTGTCTGCCAAGGCCAAGACAATGTGCTCCTGTCCCCTGCTCCCCAGATCTCAGAAGCACCCGGCTGCATGTGGCAAGCCTGTACCTAGGAGGTGCCATGCTAGCTCTGCCTTCAGTGGGGCCCTCCCAGGAAACTTAGTTAGAAGATTCCTGGAAACAAAGGTATCCCATCAACCAGACCTGGATGAACAAAGGGTTCTTTGAAGTTTTGGGGCCCCTTCCTGTTGTCCCCCTCCCCATCCTAGATACACAGAGGGCACCAGGCCAGCTCCGGTCCCTCCCTTCGTCAACAGGATCCTGGGAAAAGCCAAAGAAATGCCAGACCCAATCTTGGTGTCCTGGACTGGAAGCCAAATGTCCTGAGGCTGGGGCTGGGCAGGATGGAAGTGGGTAAGGGGGAATGAACACTATGTCCCAGGCCTGGCAGAAAAGGCATGATGGGGAAACCAGTGCCAAAGGAGGCTGGGGGCTGCTTCTCTCGGGTAGCCCGGATTCAAACCTCAAGGTCCTCCTGGGATGCCCCTGATCCTCCCTCCCACGTGTAGCACCTGAGCACCTGTACAGCCCAAGGTGACATTCTCCAGGCCAGATGGATGAGCCTGGGACTGCTGAGAGTGGAGCTCCAGCTGGGGGAGGCTCTATGGGGTGGGGGTCTGCTCCGGTCCTGCTGCCTCGGCCAGATTCTGCCTCTTTGGATTAGGCTGATCCACCAGGAGACCCTTCCTTAAGACCCTTCTAGGCCTGATGGGCCCCAGGCATGCTCAGGCTGCTCCACACCCTCCCCCCAACCTCCCCTCCACCCAACACTGGAGGATGGGAAAGGCAAAGCCGGATGTGGCTCAAGGAGATGGGCAGGAGCCCAGACCTGCCAAGAAAAGCCTCCTTGTTTGCTTGCTTATAATACTGCCAACATGCCTGGGGCAGGGGCCAGGGGGGGCTGGACCGGACAGTAGGCTATTGGGCTTTGGCCCTGTACTTGCCCTGGAGGTGTAGGAGGGAACAATACACGGCAGGGGCCTCCCTCGCCTTCCTAAGAGCCTGCAGGTAGAAACTCACATATTGGAAGGGTAGGAGGATGGCTAGGATGAGTCCGCTGAAGAACAGGGTCATGAGCAGCACGAAGATCACACCCTGGCAGGAAGTGAAGTCAAACTGCGGGACGAGAGGGGCATCAGCATTGGTCCCTGGCTGCATGGAGCTCCCGGGCAGTGTACTGGCTGGAGGCTGAGGCTCAAGGTCTTAAGCTCACCCTCCAGAATTCAGCATTCCGTTCCAGCCTCCCAGCTCCCCACCCCACCCGGCCCCAACCTAGATCCAACTTATCCCTTTCCCTCCTCTTGGCCTGGAAACCAGCTTGGAGCCCCATCCTGCATACATCCCTAGCCCACATGCCTCAAAGCTGACCTTGGTCTGGAAGCTGAAGACCGTGACTGAAAGGCAGACGAGGGCTGTGATACCCAGGCACAGCAGCACAGATGTGGTGTTGTAGTAACTGAGAATGGAGGGGCAGGGTCAGCTCCCACAGGGCCCTGCTGTCCCCCAGCTCTCTCTGCAGCCAGAGCTTCTACCAGGCCCTGATCTGTGATCTCTGACCCTGACCCTGTCTCAGGACTCACCCTCCCTGGGTTCCTTGGCCTTTCTTCTGGGCCCTGCCCTTCATCTCCCAGGCATACTGAAGCTCACTATTAGTTAGAAGGGTCCTGAATAGGTGGGAGAAGGGGTGGGGGGATATGTGCTGGACCCTGGAGGTGGCTTACGTACTTTAAACTGCAGGATCATTTAAACTGCAGCTTGAGAGGAATCACCCTGCTTCCCACCTTCCCTCACTCTCACCCCACCAACCTGGCCAGGTCCTGGAGCCATCGGCCAGGTAAGTTCCCTGAAAAGGGTTCTAGGCCAAAGTGTCCTCCTGCCTGAGCCCCTCCCCCATCCAAGTGGTCCCAGGAAGAGCAGGGTTTGGGGGAAGCCCGCCTCAGACTATGGCTGGTCCCTGGGTGCAGGGCCCTTGTCTCCATGCACCTGTTCCCTTTACCTGGACAGCATCCCAGTGAGGTAGGCCATGGACAGGGTCTGAAAAGAGAGGCAGGGTAAGAGAATTGTCCAAAACTTAAGATTCAGGAGCCCCAGGCATACACCCCTCCACACTGATGCTGCTTTTCCTTGAGCAGGTTTCTGATCAGATGCAAGCCTGGCTGAGCAGTGTCTCCCAGGCCAGGTTGCAGGTCCTAAGGATAGCAGTCTCTTTCTCTCTTAGGCAGCCCTGTTATCCATCCTCCTCCACCACCACCCTGGAAGAGACCCACTTTTCTTCATTATTCGTAGCTCTGGGATGTTCTGGATGAGCCTCTTCCACAGACAGTGGGGGCAGAGGGAAGCAGCCCAACCCATTTGGAAAGGGAGGGTGAAGTGTCTTGGTGGAGGGAGCAGGTGAAAACATCCCTGTTCCCCAGTGACCTCACATTAGATGTCCCCAACCCGGGCTCCCCTGCTTCCATCCTTCCTCTAACCCTGGTCAGCATCTGTCACCAGCTCACTTAGTCACTTACAAAGATGGTCAGCAGGATCAGGTTCCAGGGGAAGTGTCTCCTGTAAGGAAAGCCGAGGGGTTCCAGTGGAGTTGCCACTGCAGGAAGGGCTCTCTGCACCCTCGTCCACACTCCTAGGGGCCTCTTCCTTCAGCCAAATCCCCACAGGCCTCATCTGTCTGCCCTCCCGCAACCTCAGTAGTGCCAAGGCAGGAGGGAGGGATAGGCCTGCTCGACAGCGGACTGGATGCCTCTCAGGGGTGCAGAGCATTGGGAGGCAGGAAGGGCTGGGGCCAGGGCAGTCAAGGTCCTGCTTACACCCTCACAAGTTGCTCCTCAAGCCATTATCGTACCTGGGTCCAGAACAGCAAGCCAGAGTCAGGTAGGTGGCAAAGAACACAGCACTGTGAGAGACAGTGAAGGGTACGTCAGCAAGGCCCTCCTGAGGCCCCCCACCCAGTGTCTTGCTCTTTCCATTCTCTGCCACAACTGCTCACAGGTGCCACAAAGAATGGATGGCAGGGAGAAGGCCCTGGTCATCCCAGAACCTGGCAGGGGCAGGGCGGTGGATCAATTCCAGAAGAGAGAAGGGGGGGATCTGTTGAGTCTGCTTCCAGTACGATTGAGTCTTGGGTGCTATGGGGCAGCTGTTCCCGAGCAGCCTACCCAAAGTGACCTCCCATTCCTCACCATGGTATTTAAAAAGCTCATCTACAGTATTTTCTGTGGTATGTGCTTGGCAGACTTTTAAACATGCTTTACAAATATTAACTAAAGTCATTCTCTTATCTCCTCCATGAAGTATGCTCTTTACTTTTCTGCTGAGGCACAAGGTCATGCCTGTGTGCCCATCAGGTTCCAGGTCATCCAAGTTCGCACGATTACCATGTTGAAGAAACAGGATGGGAACCCAGGTACTCTGGCTTCAGGAAGCTCACCTGCAGCCACGAACCCACACTGTCTGGCAGCCGTCACCCCCAGCATCAGCTGTAACGTCTCTGTAGTTATTGCTCATCTGTCTCACAGGGTGTAAGCTCAGCACAGCACGGCCTGTGGCTGTCCCGCATAAGCAGGAAGTGACACCTGTGAATGAGTTTCTGGATCGATTGGGTGGCTGCGCCCAGTGGGAGGCAGCAGGGAGCTCAGAGGCAATCCAGAGACAATGCTTGAGCCCTGAGTGTTTCTGGGGATCAAGGGAGGCAGGAGCTGGTCTGGGCAGTGGGCGGTGAGGGCTGAGGACCTGAGGATTCTGCCACTGCCTAGTGGGCCTTCATCGTGGCACTGCCATCCCTTCCTTCTTCCTCCATCCTCACCCTCACCCTCCATGGCAGCAATTCCAAACTTCCTCCTGCTCCCCCAGGCCTCACTCTGCAGCCCAATCTGCCTGATATGTCCCAGAAAGACACAATGAGATGGGGCTCCTTTAGCTCGCTGCCAGCCACCTGCACACCTCACAGGATGCTATGGCCTCCCCTATCTCTCCTGTTCAGCCTGGGCTCTGGTCTCATGCCCTCGATCACCTGATGACCTCCCTTCCCCTTCCTGTTGGCCTCACTCTCCCCACAGAAATCTCCTCAGCCGTTCACCATCTTCATTCAACATCTTCTCCAAGTCTAGTGATGGCCACTCTCTGCCCTCGAAACCAAGCTTTGAGAACATGTGGTCTCCATTCAGGGTGCTCTGTGCTCCATCTCCCCATCCGACAAGCCTGTCTCAGTCCCACTTAGGGAGGGAGAGCTGGCTTTGCCACAGCAGATGACCTTGTCAACACAGCAGATGACACTCACTTGTCAACATCTGATCATTCTTGTTTTTTCCTGGGTTCCACAAAGACATACTTTTGGAACCCCTCCTTCTTCCCTGGGCACTGCTTTCTGCCCTAGGGGGTCTCTGGCTATGCCTGGTCCCTTCACCCTCCCCCTAAGTGTGCTGGTTTACTCACAGGACTCACGCCCCACACTTGTATCTCAATTGAGAAACATTCCAGCACTCGTATGTTCTCAACCTCTGAAACATTCAGCTGCCTACTAGGCAGATGTGGCTCTTCAGAAACGTGTTGAACTCCACAGGGTGGAGGTGAGCTCCCATGCTTTCTACTCCTTCTCCTGCATCGATGGCTGCAGAGGCCACCATGCATCCACCCAGTAAGCTCCCAGGAGCCTCAGCAGCATCACTGACTTCTTCCCTGCCACGCCTGATTAATCACCTGCATCTGTTTATCCTCCCACTCAGCCAGCTCTCAAAACTACACTCTTCCTTCCATTCCTACCACCACCCTTTGAGGTCTGGCCACCTCTCTTCTCTCTCTGGCTGGTCTGAGCCAGGAGTCCATCTGGTCCTCCTGCCTCCAACCTTACCTTCCACCTCCGAAGCTACAGCCATATCCAGTCATGGGACTCTCCCGTCTAAAATGCCCAGACACCTGCAGTGCCAGCCCCGTCCAACCCTCGCACCTCTCCAGGCTGCCTGTACTATACTCCGCCTTCCCTCTGCCCTTCCCATCACAATCCTCTCTCACCCTCCCAACCTGCTTGCCACACTGCTTTTGCTGGAAAACTGACTGGCAAGGACATCTGGGGCTCCCTCTTGCAGATGGCATCCTCAGTGTACCCCAGGTAAATCTTACCCGAGCCTGCACTCCCATTCTGCCAAAGTCAATTTGCCTGACATCCCAGCCAGACGCAGCTTATTCCTTTTGCATTCCCATCACATAACCTGATGCCTGATACTTGGTAGGTGCTCTTTTCATATTACTGGATGAAATGAAAATGAAAATGAAAAAGCAAACAAACAAACAATAAGCAATGCAAGAGTCCATATAAGCCTACGGGTCCAGTGACCAGGCCCCATGTTAACCCTTTCCAATTCTTTGTTTTTACTTTGTTTTGTTTTTCAAGATCTTAATATGTTATTTCAGACCAACCTTAAATGCATGATGATCCTCTTGCCTCAGCCTCCTAAATGCACCACCACCACACCTGGATCCCTTTCTAATTCTTCAGTGGCTCTCCGCTAGAGCTATTGGAGGTTCTGCCAATAGCTGGGACCAGGAGCCAAAACTGTGGGACAGAACTGTCCTGCCTCAATTGAGAAACATCCCAGCATCTGCTCTTTTGGTCTTACTTGAGTCATTGGCCAGTCACTTGAACAACAATGATAATAATAGTGCCCTGTCTGTGTGACTACGTGGTGTGGGGCCTGTCACCTTGACCAGAGTGTAGGCTTCCTGAGGGCAGGGGCCCCACCTCGTTTTCTCTCTGGTTCCTATCTCCTCAAGACAAGGCATCAGGAGGAAGTCAGAGGGACAGGGACCCAGAATCCAGGGACTATAGTGCAGCTTTGGAGCCTGATGTCGGCACTCACATCCCAGGTCTGTCACTATTTCTGTAATATTTATTGCATGAGTTATTTAATAGCCAATTCCCTTCTTTGTAAAACAGGAATCCTGGTTCCAACCCACTGGGCTGCTTGAAGCCAAATGAGAACACATAGGCTATGTACTCAGTTTGCCACGGGCTGGGCTTGGTGTGGGTTTGGGCTCCTCCTCCACAGGAGCTGCTATTATTGCAATTGGAAGCTGCTGGATGGGCAGCCCACCTCCACCCCAGCTCAGCACCCTCCCCCTGTGGCTGTGCCGCAGACACCGTGGCTCAGTGGGAGCAATTAGACAATAAGGTGACAACCTGTGGAGGGAACCAGGAAGCCAACTGGGACCTTGAGAAAGCTAGAGCTGTGGGTAGGAGGGGTAGGATCTTGGGGACAGAGACTGAGTTAGAGGAGGGTAAGAGAATGATTGATTTGTACCTCAGGGCTGGAGCCCCAAGGCCTAGGATGATGAGCTGTTCAGAGTGTCAGAGCAGGGAGTAAGGCTCAGGTAAAGATCAGTGACCAAACCCAATGCCTTTCCCCAACTTATCCTGCTCACACCCAAATGACACCTGTGGGCCGCATAGTACAGAGTTTTTGTTATGCAGAAGGATCTGGGTTGTATCTTGGCTGTGCTGTTCAGGAAACAGTAACTTCTCTCAATCTCAATTTCCTCATCTGTAGAATGGGAATAATATTTTTTTGGTACTAGGGATCAAAGCATAAAGAAGGTGCTTATGCTGCTGAGCTAAATTCCTGCAGATGGGAATACCAATAGTACCTACTTGGCAGGTACTTGCAAAAGGACCAATGAAAAGTATATGGAGAGCACCTACCACAGCACCACAGCACATAGAAAGAGAGCAGTTTTAGTCTCATTGCTGCTATTACCATTCTAAAAGAAAGAGACAGGTGGAAGAGTTTGGAGACAGCAGGGAAAGTTTGGTATTTAGGGGAGGTGAAACCCACTTAGAAGCGGCCTCAGACAGGATGGGGAGAACGGAGGAGCAAAGAGGCCACAGGGCATAAGCCTAGGCGGGCTTTCTGCAGGAAAAGGCCAGCATCCCAAGTGCACAGTCCATGCCTCATTCTGACTTTTCTCCACCTGCACCCACCCTGAAACCACACAGCACAGCTCTCTTTCTGCTTTCAGCCTGGAGCCCCAAAGCTCCCCATTCAGAGCCCTGATTCTCCCAGCCTCCCTGCCTCCACAGCACACACCCAACTGTGTGTACCCTGCCCCACTTTCAGGCTATATCCCCATGCTCAGGCATGGAATCTCACAGTCACACTCACAGAAGGCCAAAAGAGGGGCCTGTGGACTCCAGCTCTGAGTTCTCAGGGGGCCCGAGGCTGCCAAGCAGTGGTGACGTGACGGGAGCCATGCCAACCCACCAGGTGGCCTGGCCAGGGTGGCAGTCCCTGGGGCCTCATTACCTTTACTATATTGTGCCATCCAGCTTCCCAAGACACATCTATCTGCCAGGTCTGCAGACAGGGCCTCTGTCCCATGCCCTAGAAGAGACCCTGGGTACGTACATTTCTTCCCCTCGACCCCAGTTTGAAGAGGCAGCTCTGTAGCTCCTACAAGCCCCAGAGGCCGAGTCTGCTGACGGCTTTTGGCTGGCTCATGCTGACTCTGAGCCCAACCCTGAGTGCTCTGCGCTCGGGATAGTCCACAGAGGCTTTGGGCTGAGTCTACGTCTCCACTAGATCTCTATTCAGGAGCCTGCTATCCAGAATAGGTGTAATGTGCAAGCTCCACAGCTGGTGGTTAGAACCTCAACCATCTGCGCTCTGAGATGTCCTTCCAGCTCTCTGCTAGTCCCTTCCTTCATCATCAAATGAATCACAAGTCTTTGCATTCCTGTACTTTTGCTTCAAGCCATTTCTCTGGGGGCCCCTCCTTTGAAGTCTACCCCTCTGTGGGCTGAGTGCCCTGTGCCTGAGCCCACACCTTCCCCTCTCCTCAATGCTGCATCTTTGCTGACTGCCCCACTCCCTTGCCCTGCAGGACACCAACTATAGTGCTGGGCTAGCAGTCGGTGCTGAGGGAGTCTCTGGGGAAAACAGTTCATCTCTGAGCTCCAGGGTGGTTCAGGCCTGGAATTATCCAGATTTATTAGTTTTCCAGACAGGAGGATCAGTATTGCCTACCTACAACTTCAAACCTCTTCTCCCAAGTTGCCTGCCTTAGTACTTAAAGTGTATAGGACCAGCAAGAGCCAAGAGGCTTGAGGCTGAAGGGAGACTGCCAAGCAGAGGGATTAGGTGCACAAGCCTTGACCTGAATCCTAGTTGAATCCCAGTTGCTCCACTGACTCGTTGTGTGATCTTGGGAAAATTACTCAAGCTCTCAAAGCCTTAGTTCTGTGAAACAATCATACCAGTAGATTTGGGGATCCACTGCAATACTATACACCAAATACATAGAGTAATGCCCAGCCCTTACTAGGCACTCTTTAAGTGGCAGTTATTATGATTAATAATTTCATAAGCAGTAATAACAATGGTGCTAATAAGAGTAGCAACATTATTATTAGTGTGGGATGAGGTGTTCCAGCCCTCTCCCCCTTAGGGGTCTCTCCAGCCATGGCCTCAGCCCCACCCCTCCCAGCTTGTGTAGGAGCCAGGACCTCCTCCATCTCCCATCCATCCTAATAGATCACAACAGGCCAGAAAGGCTCTTGCTCTGCTCTGAAACCAGTAGAACAAGGCAGGGGTGGTAGTGTGTGAGGTCAGTTCCCTAGGTGTGGATCTGTCAGCAGGGCAGAGATTCCCTCTGCCTGTCACTGGCCTTCCTCTCGGAAAGATGTAAGGCTGGGGTATACTCACTAGGATGCCCAGTACCAGGCTGGGTTGGCTTGGACATAGTTCTTCACAGGGTCACTGCAGAGAAGGGAGAGACAGATATCAGAATTTACTCAAGGTCTCTATTTCTGGTTCAACATCCCTGCCCATAGGACTTGTGAGGCAGGAAGGTTACAGCCCTGGAGGCTCTGGGAGGTCCAGCTCCAGTCCCTGCCTGAGACCTGGGGTTGCCTGAAGTGGAAGTGGGGATGTGGCTGGTAGATTGGAAAAAAAAAGCAGGACCGAGCATGCCAAGTCCGTGCTACCCTGGATGGGGACTTGAATGCTCAGCTGTTCAGAATGCAAGGATTACAGGCATGCACCACTATGCCCAGCATTATTCCTGGGCTACATTATATACTCTTAAGGTTCTTCCCCAGCACAAAGAGAAGTGCTCCCCACCTGTCTTTCCAGGGGACCTGGCCATGGCTACCCCTGAAAGGTACCAGTCTGTATCACCAACTCACCAGAAGGTAAAGAGAGCCACGATACCCAAGGTCACCAGCAGCTGGATAAGCAGGATAGTGTAGACCTGGCAAGAGAGGCCAGGTAGGCTCAGTCTCAGCAAGGCTCAGGGAGACCCCAGATCCCAGGAACCCATTCAACTCTCCAGACCTACTTCTTGGATGCTCCACCCTCCTTAGGGGACATTGGAACTAACCCAGGACAAGTATAAAGGAAAGCAAGGGGGCCCCAGAGCTAAGGGAGGAACAGCCACATGGTACCCAGAGGAGAGTGCAATGGGACCTAGTGAAATCTATGCAACACTTCCCCATAGGAGCTATCATTAGGGTCACTAGAGAAGGAGACAATGGCGTCTGCTGGCGTCTAAGACACAAGGCAGGATGAGGGGCTTTTTGAAGGGCTTCTCCACTGAGCTCTCACTACTGGAGAATCAGGGAGAGGCAATTACCTTTCTGATGAAAACCCGGCGAACTTTCTGGTCATCCCAACTGTAGGTGGTGAAAAGTTCATGGTGTCCAGTGGGGAAACGGTTGTCATAGGAGGAGCTGCCGCCTGGGTGGACATAGGTGGGTGGTGTGAGGGCTCCTCGTGCCTAGAAATAAGCCTCACAGCTACCTGCTCACAGCTGCCTTCTTGTCAAGCTGGATCCACTGAAATGTTTCTTTCCAGTCTCTTTGTAAAATACCCCAGACCACCCCTAGGTCTCTCTCCCTGGTCACATCTTGCTTTTCTTGCTCTGGGTCCTGGAGATGAGCTGTCATTTCTCTTCCATTTCTTGCTACCCTGGCAGGAGCTTTGGAAGTCAAATGTGGCTTTCTATCTTGTGTCCCCCTTCCTCTCCCTGAACATTCAGCTCCCTTGTGGCTGATGATCAGGAAAGTAAACCATTCCCAATTAGCAACAATCACACCTTAGGTAAACTTCACTGGCCATGATACTGCCACTGCACTGGGGACAGTCACTCTCTAGGCCACTTAGGACACGTAGGGTCAAGGGTCCTGACCCTGGCTTGCTCGGAGGGCCTTGGTGTGGGAGTTAGAGACTGGGTGCATGTGCCAGACCGCAGGCTAGAGCTGGAAACCAGGGCCAGGCAGGGCCTGGGAGGGAAAATAAAGCCAGACCAGGATGAGAATTAGGGGTGGGGACAAAGATCCAGAGACTCATCCCAGAACTCAGGCTTTTGGAAGATCACGGATGAATAGATCCTACAAACAGAGGATCCATCTTCCAAGAGTGGTGTGACTTTGAGTAAGACCCCAGGCTTCTCTGCGTCCCTTCTGATGAGTCTGGATTCCCATAAGCTCCCATGGGAGCTTATGTGCTCTGTTCCTGGTGGGGACTATACTCCCATCCCTCGTGTCCTTTTCAGGCCACTTCCAAGTCTTCAAACGTGTGCACTCTGTTCAACTCCACTCTCCCCACCAGCCTCCACACCCCACCACACTCCTCCACAGCTTGTTTTGGTCTTCACAGGTGACCACCCTGCCATGCTTTGAGCTCCAGGTTCCTGAAAGCTTCAAGTTCCTGAAAGCCCCCGCAACCTCTGTGAGCAGAGCACTTCAGTCGCCCTGCACATTCCTCCCTCCCACTGTCCTCGGGCTGGGTGCATTTTTTCGAGCCATGTGCTCTCTTGTCTCAGGACCCCTGGGCAGCCTATTCTTTTGGTCTTGAACACTCTTTTCTCTGCCTTTTCACCAGGCTCACTCATGGCATCCTTCAGGACTCAGTGTGGGCGACTCTCCCCCCAGGAAGCCTTCCCTGCCTGGCTGGTGATAGGCGAGCTGCCCAGGCCTTCAACACCGAGCCTGTGGTATCACTGTGGTAGACATCTGCTCACTGTCCACGGTCAGCCCTGGGAGGGCAGAGATCCGGGCAGCTCTCTGAGGCCGGTGAAGTGAACTTGGAGCCAGACACGGCCTGGCATGCACTTATTTTATTTTATTCTATTTTTTCTTTTTATCGGTACCGGGGATCGAACTCACGACAGCCTGCTTGCAAGGCAGGTGCTTATGCCGCAGAGCTAAATCCCCAGCCCCATGCACTTATTTTAAAGTGTGTCACATGCTGACTAAAAGAAGCAGTCTTCCTGCCTCAATGACCCCTTGGAAAATATTCCTTAAAGGAAATCAGCCCATTCCTGCAATGGATAGGTGAGAAATGAGGAGGGTCCTGGGGCCCCAAGGATGCTTGCCTTTCCTTCACATCTCCCTCAACTGCTGCCTACTTCCCCATGAACCCCACTGTTCACACCACACTGAGGGAGAAAGGCTCTGAAAATACCAGACCTGTAGGAACATTCCAGTAGGTTACACCGGATTTAGGCTGAGGCCGAGGGGGTTTGTGGTGGGAGGCACGGACCATCGTGACCACTCTCTGTGAACAGGGGCTATGTCTGGGCTATTGTCCTTGGATTCCATTCTAGAATTCTGTAGGCAGGGCAAAGTTGGGGAAGGGAGAGCTGCTGAGGGACACTAAAAGGGGCTGAGCAGAATTTAAGAGGGGACTGTTTTGTTTTGTTTTTTGAGACAAGGTCTCTCTCTGTCCTTAAGGCTGGCCTTGAACTCCTAGTGCTCCTCCTGACTTGGCCTCCTGAGTTCTGGGATTACAGTTATGCACTACCACACCCAGCTAAGAGGGGCCCTTCTCACAGCCTTGGGGAAGCTTTGGTTCCCAGTCCTGAGGCAAAGCTGCCACGGGCTGGTCAGCCGAGGAGTGGATCTCCCGCTGGCTGGATCCTCAAAGGCAGGAGCTGGCATCTACCCATGAGCTCCCTGTCTGAAGCTCTCCCTGGCTGCCAGAGACAGACGCTGAGGGTGGTCCCCACACACCTCTCCACATCATGCCCTCCTCCCCACTGTGAAGGTGGGGGAAAGGGCAGGGGACAAGAAGAATGAGTGGTAAGGTGAAGCCTCATATCCCTGGCCTCCAACAGCTCTGGGGCCTCCACCAGGCTGCCTCGCTGCGTTGGCTTCAGAGTAGTGCAGTGTGCAAAAGCTGCACCCACATCACAGGGCATGTGGCCCAGGTCACGGCCAGCTGCAGCCTCACCTTGCCCTTTTCTGACCACTCTGATCTCTTCTGAGCCTCTGCATCTCTCTCTTCCAAGAGGGCCTTTCTAGACTGGATCTTAGTTTTTGTTGCTCAACTGTCGCCTTTACTTATTCAACCTGTGACTTGAAAAACAAATTTCCTTCTTCCCTATCTGAAAGTACCTTGACTACAGTAAACTTAGAACTGTTCTCCAAATCCTAAGCTTTCAGTCACACAGCTTCACACAGCAACCAGGGCTTGCACCGGGCAGCTTCCTCCTACTGAGGTTTTTCATCTGAGCCACTGCTTTCCCTGACGCCCCAGCCTCCAGGAGCTGAGAAACTTACTAGGGTCCACATAGGCCCAGCTCGGGTGGAGAGGCACAGCTGTGGGGACCGGAGGGAAGGCTCCTGCCTTTAACCCCTCTCCCGAGGTGGCTTCCTCATAAGAGGGTGGGGCCGAGGGCACTGCCACAGTCTCCTTCTTCTCAGCATTCGCCTGCTGCTGCCCCTCGGTCCCAGGAGCCTTGTTAGCCACGGAGAGCTGCAGAACAAAGGCAGAGAGAGAGATGATCACCAGGGAAAGAGAGCCTTCCAACCTCTCCTGGTCAGCCCCTCAATTCCTGGAACCTTCCTGGGTACGTTTTTACATAGGAAGAGCAGGAATCCCTACAAGAATGCTCCTATTTCAAATTGGGTGTGACCGTGGATGTTTAAAAGCCAAGCACTCAGGACGCTGAGGCAGGAGGACTGCAAGTTTGAGGGCAGCCTGGGTTAGTTACAAAGTGAGAAGTGTCTCAAAAAACAAAACAAAGGCTGGGCAGCCTGAGGCATACTTGTAATTCCAGCACTCAGCAGAGGCTGAGGTAGGAAGATTGGAAGTTCAAGCCCAACCTGGGGAATCAGTGCCTTTTAGAGACCCTGGTTAAAAAAAAGAAAAGAAAAAAAAGCTGGAGATGTAGCTTGGGGCAAAGGCTCGAGGTTCAAACCCCAGCATGCAAAACAAAAAACAAAACAAACAAAAGTTCCTATTTTATTGAGACCAGAACTGAGTTCCAGGAAGGTCAGGCTGGCAGGGCCACACGCTGGAGCTGGGATACGAAATGAGGAAGGAGAAGATTTTTAGCAGTGCCCGCCACTGGTGACTACTGACCACATGGCAGGGTATGGATCACTGTGGTTCCATTATTTCCCTGGCATTCAAAGAAAGGCCTGGCTAGTAGACTTCTTTGATTCTTATTTTAAAGTGGAGGAACTGCTCAGATGGTGGGGCATACCTGTAATCCCAGCATTCAGGAGGCTGAGGCAGGGGAATCACCATGAGTTCAAGGCCAGCCCAGGCTATATAGTGAATTCAAGATCAGCCTGAGCTACACAGTGAAACCCTGCCTCAAAAAATAAATTTAATTAATTAATCAGTCGAGGGAACTAAAGACTCATCTGAAGTCACAGGGTCCTGAGGGGCTAGGAAGGAGAAAGATGGGTAACAGAAAAGGAGGAGGAGGACAAAAAGGGGAAAGAGGAAAGGGACTGCAGGGGAAAGATAGGCAGAAGGTCTCCCTCTAAGATTCCATTCTGACCTTCAGCCTCTCCCCCAAACTGAGACAGCACCACCAGATGCCACTGCTGGAAGGGACCTCCGGAAGCAACAGTGTGGCCCCTTTCCATGTTAAACAGATGAGGGAACTGCAGCCAGAGGGCAATGTAGGTTGAGAAGTCTGTTTACACTCAAGAAGTTCTACCCTGCCATGCACACAGTATACCTTTGGCAGGGGAATGTGTGAGTTGTAGGTCTAACGATGAAGCCAGAGAAGGAGAGTGTGGCATGGAGGGGGTTGTGAAAACAGAGACAGCAGCAAAAGAACAGGGCTCAGAAAGTGGCATTTAGGTCTGACTCCAAAATGCTCCCATCAAAGCTGCTGCTGAGGGAGGCTGCAGGACTCCTGCTCAGAGTCTCCAGAGAGGGTGAGCATCAAAGACCTCCGGTTCCTACCAGGCTCATGGACCACTGGACCGGAGTCTTACACTACCCTCCAGAAAGCCTGGGGTGAGCTGGAGAGGAGGGGCCACAAGGCAGGGGAGCATGTTCACCCCATGGCAGTAGCAGAGGCCAGGGCACTTCCTGGCGGGGTGTGGGTGAAATGAGAAAGGGAGGCTCACGGGATGGTGATGTGGTGGAGTGGCCCTTCCTTTACACTGCACTCAACACCCCCAGCCCTCTCAGGGGAGGGACAGGGAGCCGCGCCTGTGGAAACGGGTCTCTTCCATTTCTCTTCTTCAACACAGACTGGAGGAAAACTCACCTCAACCCCTCCTCCTCCTCACCCTCCCATGAAGCCTCCAGAACTTTCTGGGGCCTATCTGGCCCCCAAACACATCTGATATTCCCAAGTGATTTTTGACCAAAGGCAGGAAGTGATAGTACCTGATGATGTCATTTTGAGGGCCAAAGAGCTTAAAAACAGGGAGAAGACAGTCTGAAGGCCCAGCAGGGATGTCACAGGCTTTGAGACCCATTTCAGAGGAAAGAAGGGGTGTGTGGGGAGGGCCTTTCCTGTTTCTCTGCCCAATCCTTAACACTGTCAAAAGAGGGCCAGAAGACCCTCCTTCTTTGCCCTGGGCCCTAGCAGTTGTGTAATTCCACAGGCTGTTGATGTTACATAACTTGCCCAGCCCCCCTCACTTGAATTTAGGCCTAAAACTGGAAAAATAGCAAATATGTTTTCATATAGTTCCATGCCTGCTCAAATTAAAAAACAAAAAAATCTGAGCATCCTGAAACAGGGTTGCCATAGTAACCCGTAAACCATAGGGGATGCATCAACATCCAGATGTGGAATAATGACAGGGAGCTGGGGTGGGGTGGTACTCTGTGGAGGGTGTGAAGGATGCCATAAAGCAGATGGTCTGGCACTGGAGGGATGCCCATAGGTATCAAGGCTCACCCTGACATGCACATAAGCACACACGTACAGTCACACAGCACAACCAGACTAGCTCCTTTTGAGGGTTTGGGCACCTGGGAAGAGTCTTGTGATGCCAAAGCACGGGTGGAAGGCAGATGGGAGAGGAGGAGAACCTGGGGTTGGGAGAGGTTCTGATCCTATGACTTCAGCAAGAACCACAGAGGACCTTTGCATTAGAGCCAGGGGGGATGCTTAGAGAGGTCCAGGTAGAGAGGGAGCCCAGAGGATGCAGGATGGTGCAGGCGGGGGAGATGCTGGTACCTTTCCTTGGGTCATGATGCCGGTCTCCCGGAGAAGGGGTCCCTGTGGCAGGGGCGGCTGCTTGGGTCACCGCAGCCTGCCTGCGTCTCTTCCTTCCTCCGCGTGGGCTCTAGCAACATCCACTGCAGCCGGGCCGTGCGGACCGGAGCGTACCATTCACGCGCGGGGGAGGGGGGCGCGAGTTGGGGACCCGGAGGCGCAGCCCCAGGCTGAGGATTCGCAAGACCAAGGAGGACGTCCTACCGCTTCCCCTCCACTCCCCCTTCCCAGTACCTTCCACCCTCCCCAAGGATAGGGCACCGAGGTGCTGCGGTGCAGCTCAAGTGGACCGGTCCGCGGGGGAGGGAGGAGGCACGGGGACTCCGTGACACTCGACCAGCTGATGCTGCCGCCAGCGGTAACCAGAGCTGGGTGTCAGGGCCTGTCTCACCACCCTGGGGCTAGACAGGATTCAGGCGCACCTCTGCCTCGTCCCCTCCACATCTGAGTAAAGCCTTCATGTCTGTTTCCACCCCTAATTCTCCTCTCTTCGCCTCTGTTTCATCATTCAAATCAGAGAGGGAAAGCTCTGGAAATCTTGTCTGCCCGGCTGCTTCCAACAAGGCCTGGGACCCTAAGTTCCCACGGTCTTGGGCAAGCCAGGTAGCCTATAGCAGCTCTTCCTGCCTCGGCTTTTCTTAACTGTGAAGTGGGAGCAATAAACCCCCACTTGCTGTAACTTCTCTGTTTCCCCCTCTTCCTTACCCCCTTGTCTCAAGGAGACATGATTGGGGAGATACAGCTTCCATCTTTTGCAGCCTTGTTGGGACATTTAGCTCAGAAAGACTCCGGGTCTTTCTAGAGACGCCTCTAGTTCCCTTTCAGAGCCTCTCCATAATTGCTCTCCTCACTCAGCCTCCATGGCCGCATTTCCAGCCAGCCGCCTCCCAGAGCCCAGTCTCCCCTCTCTCCCAGCGATGTCCTTGGGACTCAGTCATCACCAAGCCCCAGTTCCTGCAATTGCTGCAATGTCACTGTGAGTTTGCCATCTCACAACTGGGCTCCCATCCCAGTTTAGTCTTCTGCTGGCTGTGTGACCTTGGCAAGTGCCTTAACCTCTCTGAGCTTAAGCATCACCTGTGAAAAAGAGGCTATGAGAGGGCTCTGTCCTCCCAGGTTGCCTATAAATCAAACAGAAGCATCTGGAAGACCAGGAAGTGCTGCAGTGCATGAGCTAGTATTATTAAACGGAGACTCTCCTACTGCAATATCTGAGCTGTCCCAGGGTGAGGCCTTAAAGTACAGACTAAAAGCCAGGGTCTAAGTCTCCTACAGTGGAATGAGAAACCAAGACCTGGGCCATGGGTGTGCAGTGTGTGTGTGTGTGTGTGTGTGTGTGTGTGTGTGTCCACTTTCTACTTCAGTGTCATCTCTCAATGAGAAAGCCAGGCAGTGAATGAACAGGGAAGTTACAGAAATGTTTCCCCGTCTTCTTACCTTTCATCTCCCATTCCACAACCCATTTCTCACAGGCACATTTAAGCCTGGGCCTCTCTGTCCAGATATACTCTTAGTCCTAGCATGCCAAGCCCTTCTTCCAGCAAGCTGTCTCGTTCCCCAGAACTGCTGCTTGAACTGTGCCATGGCTGCCTGTCCTCTCCACGTCTGACATCCCAAGGTGCACTTGCTTGATGGTCTGAGTACCAGCTTCTCCTTGCTTGCCTCTGAGTCGAGATTAGATGCTAATGTCAAAGCACCGTATTGTGGCACCTGTTACATGGCACACAGAATGTTTGTCCCCACGTCATAAGGAAAGGTTCCTGTTGGTAGCAGTTTTTGTGCTGGCAGCACTGAGTACAGTGCCAGCCAGGCATGTGGAACACACTCAATACATTGTAGCTATTAATATTTCCCAGACATGTGGCATTACGTAGAGCCTGACTTTCTGTAGGCTTTGGCATTTTCATGTTTGCGAATTCTACCTGCTCTTTCTTTCCCCATTCACTGGACTACAGCCATGCAGAGCTCTTGGCTGCTCCTTTTTTTAGCTCAGGGCTTTTGCACTGGATCCTGGCACAGACCTAGTATGTTAATAAATGCTTACCTGAGTCAAGTAGATCACAAAAAATCCTTACATTCCTCAGACATTTTGACATGGTCAGTGCAAGTGATGATGCCAAGCTGGAATAGAGTGGAACATTCCTCTGCCTCTGGAGACAGGTCTTCTGGAGAAGTGGTCAAAGCCTAGGCCACAGAGGCAGATCCTACCTGCCCTGCTTGAAAACTGTATTACAATTGATTTCCCTTTGCAAAGCCTCAGTTCTGTTATCCACACAATGGAGGATAGTGATAGCATCAACTTCAAAGGCCTGCAGTGAGAATTGCATGGTGATGCAGTGCTTTACACAGTGCCCAACACACTGAACATTGTTAAGTGTTAGCCTAAGGATTCCACAAACATTGTTTAATGGAATAATTAGTTTCCACCCTAATCAAGCAGCTCTTTCCACAGTTCCTCAGGTGATCATTCGGTTGTCATGCTTGTCCTGCCGTCTCTGCAGCACACTCTGGCAGGAGCTTTGGTGGTTCAAAGGGGATCAAGGCACAGGCTGTGTCCAAGGAGGTCATCCATGCAGGCTCTGCCCTGCCGCGTTCACCAGGTAGGAAGGGTGTGGGCGGTACCGTGAGTGTGGAGATAGCTACAGAAATTGGTGCCTTCTGGGAGCTGAGAGTGGTGAAGGGTTCCCCAGAACTGGCAAGTTGCAGGATCCCATCCTTGAACCCCTCAGCCTGGAGATGCACGATGTTAGGAAGTGGGGGAATTTTTAAGGTTTCTTGAGCCAAACAATGACATGACTTTGTTGTAACTTTTGTTATTATGGCCTTTTCTTACATAAAGGAGGAAGAAGTTTTCCTCGGTGAGCAGCTTGTAGCAGGAGCTGAAAGGAGAGGCTAAAGTGCATCGGGAAGCCTGCAGACCTTCTGGCAGCTCTGTGGCGGGCGGCTCAGCCTCCAGGCTCTGGAGCAGCCTACCTGGCCCCAAGTCCTAGCCTGGGACAAGGTGCTTAACTTTTCTGTGGCCCAGTTTCCTCGTTTGTACATCAAGGGCTGTGGAAGTAAGGGAGTTAGGATTCGTACAGCACTTAGAATCAGATATCTAACAAATGGTCTAAGTGATTCCAGGGCAGAAAAGATGGTAAAAGCAGACACCTTGGGGCAGAATTGACAGGATTTTGGAAGGAGCGGGAGAGAAGTCAGAAGGGATAGCGGTTTGGAGATTGAGATCCTGTGAGACTAGTGTCACTTTTAAAAGGGCAGAGGATCTTATAATCCCAAATTCCAGCTGCTTCTGAGAACGACCTGTGAGCACTGTGAGTTTGAGGCTAGCTGGGGCAACATCATGTGTGTGTGTGTGTGTGTGTGTGTGCACGTGCGCGTGCACCGTTGTGCTTATGTGGGTATGACTGAGATCAGGGAGATGGGGGAACCCACCTGCAGATGTCAATAAACAGAGGGCTAAGCTTCCTGGAGCTCAGAACAGTTTTTGGCAGAGCCTGCTCTTGCAGGACCACAAAGAGGTGCTATGCACTGTATTGAGTAGGTGACCAAAGTGCCCTGCCTTCTCCTTCCCCAAGCCAGAGGAGGGGGCACAACCAAGTTCTTTTTTCTCTCTGGGATTCCCCCTCACCACCTTCAACAAGCAGGTCAAGATGAGAGTGGGGAGATTGAACACCAAACATCAATATTTTCAGGGCTTTCCTGGGTGTGGAAGAGTCATGGGTCGCGGCCATTTCCTCTTTCTTTCTTTCAGGCTCATACCGTGGAGGCCCCTCCCACTCCTGGTTCTGCTCCAGTTGCCAGCCAGCTCCATTTAAGGCTGGTACCAGGGAGGGAATTGGGCTGAAGGTGTGGACAGAGACCACTTTTCATTTCTTAGATGTGAAAGCATAAAGCCAAAGAGGTAGTGACTAACCCAGAGTTATGAGCTATGCTGGGGGGCCATCCCAGGTGAGAAGAATGCCTTGGAACGCAGCTCTGGGACCCACAAGTGTTTTCGGGACCGTGCTTAGGGCAGGAGTTGGGGAGGAATCTCAGACTTTAGGTGAGCGCTCTCCAGGCACCCCCAGCACTCTCTGCCCCCTGGAACTGACAAGGACATCAGTGGCAGGGAGGAGGAGCAGGGGGCAGGTTTCTCCGCTGGCTGGCCACCGAGGTGGGTGATCCAGGTCAGCTGCTCTGACTTCTCTCCTGCTTATGCTTGTTTTTGCCTCAAGGCCTGTGTTCCCCTAGCTCCTTGCTTCCTCACCTCTCCGTTTTTCATGTAGGCTCTTCCTGGCTCTCTCTGCCCTCAGCAGCCGTATAGGAAAGAACCGATTCGGTTCTGGTCAGCCGTTGCCCGGTAGCCCAACGTTTTTTAGCTGGGGTTTCCATTCCTGCTTTTCCATCCTCCTTATTCCAAGACACATTGTGACTCCCCAGATATCATTTCCCAAATATAGGACATGAAGCCCAAGCCTTGGCAAGTGTCAATGTTCTGAGACCTCTTCTGTGCCATTGCAGGGTTTCTGGGGAAGACAGTGAACCGAATCCCCATCCTCCCCTTCCTTTCTGCCCCGCAGGCTGGGGTTTTGCTGGGAGCTGGCATGGAGACTGAGCACATGGACACAGTCTCTAGGTCCTCACACCCAGCCTTGTGTCCCACGTACTCCAGCTGTGCCAGTTTACTCCTTCATAAGCCTGGTTCAGGTCCCTTGCAGAGGAGAATGGAAAAAAACAGAGTTTTCCAGAAGCATGATGTTTTAGTCCAGGCTTAGCCATTCAACTGTAGGAGGCCCTGAGAAGTCGTTCTTTCCTCCAGGTCGTTCTGTGCCCTGCCCAGTTTCTGGGTGGGTCACAGGATCGGTTACCGTCACCTGTGCTGCTGTGTGTGCATTTCTGCTTGACCGCCAGATGAGACGCTCCTTAGAGGTACAGATTGTACCTTGGTCTTTTCAGTGCCCGTCCTATCCTTTACACCTGGTAGAGTTCAACAGTGAAGAATCCAGGCTTTGGACTCAGATCAACCTAGGGCTAGTTCTGGTTTTTCACATCCAAGATGAGTGATCGTAAGCAAATCATGAACCACTCTGGGCTTCAGTCTCCTCTTCTGTAAAGTGAATATTTATTACTTAATTCACTTACCTGATAAATATTTGTTGAGAGTCTACTACATGTCAAGCATCGA